CCGCTTCAATTCAGATAAGGCAAAGCAGGATATAAATATGAATATAAATATAAACTCAAATTAACAACAAACTCATAATTACTACAAAAACGTAAATAAGGAAACGGTTAAAAACATGGAAAATATTTATTCCACCGCAGAGTGGTAGCGTTCAGAATCGATGTTGTGCATCAGAAAAGGTTTCTGTTTTGACCACGATGTCTCCATTGTGCATATTATTGTGCGCTGCAGAAGTAGCACTGTTTTAGGTTCCAAAAGCGGCTCAGTTCCATAAATATTTTTCTAAGCGCTTTAAATCGTCTTCTTATTAAATGTTTTAAATATTTGTAAGTATTTACATATTTGTATATTACATATTTCATATACATACATACTTCATATTTGATATCGGAAGCTTTTTCCGTCGTGGATCGAAACGTAAATTGCAACTGTGACATTGCATATCGAAGTGGCGAACCACCTGTGCGCAACACGAAATTTTGTATAGTTGTCTACCGTTTGGATGACGAACCTCTTCTATGATGATTATATATTTTCGTTGGAAGCTACTGTCGGTTCCAAGCCCGGATCAATTGGAGGACTGTAGCCGGTAGCAGAGTCTCTCTTCGCCATCTGTCCCTCATGGTATTGACGCTATGATGAGTGTCATCGTCATGCGCATTCAGTTGCAGCACGGCCAATCTTTAAATTTGTCACTGTTCCGTTCTTACTCCGCCTCTCAGACTAACGGTGTATTTGGAAGATCAAACGTGGCTGAAACGGATGTCGAAGAGAACACTTGTCGTTGATAATTTCCAACAGCCATCTTTCCATTTCCAGTTTCCATCTTTCACAAGTTGCGTGAGGTTACGCCGCTTTTCAGCAGTGCTCGCGTCATTCTCTTACGCGAAACTTGTCTGCATCACAATGACGATGAAAACATCCTCAGTTTATAAGACTTCGTTTGTTACCTCATTGATCGTCCCAGGAGACTCTGATCTGCCTGATAGAGATTAACCTCTCTACCGCTTATTATACTCTTTTGTATTTCGCCACTTATCATGTGCCTTAGGGTTCACTTAAATAAATTTCACTGATTGACTGGCGTGTGTGAACTTTCCCAGGCGCTGATTGATATAGCTCATTTATTGTACATTTTGTTTGGCAAAACATGGCATATACGGTCCGGCCGGGTTGGTTGTAATATGGTTCTTATAATGTACATGTCGAATGTGACAATGTCACTGAATAATCTGTGCAGCCTACAAAAATAATGACGTCATACAAAGCCGTAGATAATACAGTAAAACCCCATTATAACGCAGGATTTGGGGGGAAACAGAGCGAACAACCGTAATATCAGCATATCGAAAAATTTTCGCGGAAAAAATTTTGTACGTGAAAGATAAACAAATGTCTAAACAGATTTAATTGCAAAACAAGATAGCAAAGCATTAAAAATAAAAATTCATGCCTTATTTAATAACTGTTTTTTAAATAGTCCGATGTAGTCTGTTGACGCAACAGCTCGTGGTGTTTCTTCGCCACATACGTCCTAATATTTTGTAAATGCGATAAATGAAGATGATGACAATCATGCTGTCTTTCCATCCAGTTCATCACTTCACATGCTATCCATTACAGTGCTAAGTTTTGGGGTCTCAAGCTGAGTAGTCTCTTCATTCTCGTTGTCATCGTCCCGATTAATGGCCTCCTTCGCTCTTCTGCGGCTCTGGACTTCGGCTACAATTTCTTTTTCGTCCTCATAGACAGCGATGGGTGCTTCCTCGTCATCACCAATCCAGTCCCATAGGCCACAGGTCATTTTCTTATGTTCTTTTGGCAAGAGCATCATATATGAGACAATATAGAGAATCTCTTTAGAAAGTCGCATGTGATGCCACATGGAATACTCCAAGGGATGCCAAGAAACAGTAATTTGTTTAAGCCACCGCTGCTAGAAACCTACTGCAGTAAATTCGAACCCAGCTCTTTAGGTACAAAATAACTCAGTAAAATTTGAAACGATATTGATTCCAGAGAAAATGTATTGCAAAATTCGAACCAACTTGTTTAGAAAAAATGAATCGAGTTAAAAGTACAGAGTTGTTAACAGAAAATAAATGTAATTATTTTGGGGTCATGACTAGACCCGCGATACCTTCCATCAACCTTAATAATTAGATAAGTTATAACGGGGTTTTACTGGATTTATGCACTTTGCACTCTTCAGGCTTACAACGAAATTCTTACAAACTAACTACTCATGTAGGATTTGACCTGTTGATCAACTCGTGGCATGTCGAAGAACTTAACTGATAGATAAATGGATTACATTTGCATTTAGACGAAAGTATTAACCGAAATATAGAACGTACACGATTAGCTGTTCCTTGCGATTAAAAAGCATTAGCTTGTTAATTTTATTGCTCAAATAGAATCATTAAGACATCTGTTTTTCGAACGGCTGGCATCTTCGTTCCTGATAATTTGGCTGTAGATGTGTATCGTGCTGTTTGCTTCAGTCGAGATAACGAAACGGTGACAGCTGCTGCGACCGCTGTCGCAGCTCGCGTCGCAAAGATGGAAATCCAGATCTATTTTCCAGATGCTTTGATTGCGACCCTCTGGAATTGTACCTCAGAGGGTTAATTAACGTCAGATACCATGACGATCAAGTGGGTAGTCAGTTCAGTTATGTAGTATAAACCTGTACGACGATATGCTTCATGTGGAAGATGTAACGATAAAATTCATTGTTGCTATGATGGGACCGTTGAGTACGAGCTGCAGGTCTGAAAGCGTACACCAACCGGTAAATTAACTGCTGCATGAAACTAGTTGTGTCAGTGATGATGAATGGCCAAGAAACATGAATGGGAACATGTGCCGCTGGTAATGGAAATGATCTGCTTGAGGAAAATCAGCAGAGTGTCGAGGTTGCGTCGATAGTGTGATGATTTCTCCTGGAAGTAGTTGTAAACGGAGCGTATGAAAGAAAACAGAACGAAAGCGGACTGAAGTGCTACGCAAGAACATTTGAGAAGAATGAACAAAAACGGATTACCCGCAAAGTATCGGGTGGTGCGCATCGAAGGGCATAGAAGCAATGGGGGAGACGAGCGACCGACTCCCCGAAAGAGGGACAAGGAAAGATGGCAACCTCCGCGATATCACTCTTCTTTATTTTTTCATTATTAGGCACTGCGCTGCTGGTACTCTTCTTTCATTGAGCATGCGGCGTTGCGTTAATCGTCACTTCTGTGACATGAGTCAGGAGCATCTTTCTGCGTTTCATTTTCAAATGCGTGTATACACCTGGGTGACCGTTGTAATGTGTAGTCGTCTGATTCCTTCCCACAGAGTGGTATTAGTTTATCTGCTTGGAAGGAAGAAAGGCGGATTACCCGACTGGGACTCAGCAGTTACAATAGGGTTGATACCTTGTGCTGACTGTCACAGTGGATAGTCAGTTGTCGGGTGGATCAAAGCGAATTGCAGCCCTTAGAGATGTACGCATCCGGCGTCATGGCCGTACTTGTCACCCCTTGTGGTATTACTACAGCAGAACACCTTGCTCTCGACGACTTGCGCTCTGTTTGTCGGCAGGTCCAACGAAGGAATGGGAGGGTGAGTTAATGGGTAAGAAAAGTTTTTCTTTCTCGGGATTCAAACCTGACTCATCCGAAGTTAGAAGCTGGCCGCTTACGGCTCTGCCGCTGTTTTCTCGAAACGAACGACATAGCGATCACGAATATGAGTCGTGAGTGACTGAGCAGTGCTGAAGAGTACCTCAGACAGCAGCGTCAACTTTTCTGCGACATAACGCAGCAACGATCGTCTTCCTGAGGCTGCAGAACAGAGCAAGAAGCTGCGAGGGTGAAAGCTAAAATGCAAAGCACGTGGCACAAGTGTTTTGAAGCGCGTTTGAAACGCTATCTTACGAACGACTGTTGCACTTCTCCTGCTAGGAGATGAAACTCAACAGAGGTCTCTTCGTACAGCTTGTCATCGGCCTCACTATTCAGAATTGTGCAAGGCTGAATGCAAGGTCACTGCGGACGTAGTGGAAGAAAGAGTGGTCATATGCGGGAATAGTACGGGCCAGATGTGTCAAATTCGACAACATCGGAAACGACGTCCCAGCAGATATGGGAGATTTTCGGTTTTTGGACATTTCAGTACTATAGCATATCTGGGTGTATTTCCAACGAATTACGTATACACGAAATAAGGCTAAATGACAAATTACGCTTAAAGATGTAAAATTTTAATTTTAAGGTTGTTATTGTCCTTTTCAACTTTTGTGTTTGTAGCAACTTCCAAAT